CGATAGACAAGTGTGTTGTAATTGGGTACTAGACTTGTTTCCCGTAAACAACTTTGTTCTCAGAATGGTCATTTCAGTAGGAATGGTAAACTGGACCCGATTGATAGGAATTTACCCTTTCTGACATGCTCAACTTCTTGAAACTCGAATAAAACTTCTATCGTTCAAGTATTAATTGATTCAAGACTATTTCACGTTGTAAGTAATTTTTTAAAAAACTTTTCTTGCATTTTTTCTTGTTGCGGGTTTCATCCTAGTTTCTGTCGGTTCATTTTCTGTTTTTTTAAACGCACATTTTTTTCTGGTAGTTTTTCTTGGCTTACTTTTTGAAGCATGGGTTTTTCCAATTTAAACAGTTTTGTTATGACTGAAAATTCTGTTTTGTAAATTTACTATTCTAATTTTGCGTAATGTGTTTTTCACCCGTACGATAAGCAAGGGTATTACAATCGGGTACTAGACTTTTTTCCCGTTAACAACTTTGTCCACAGGACTCATTGTACTCCTGATGCACCTTGGTTCACAATGAATTCAAATTGTTTAGTGTCTCTTGCACACTTAGCCTGGTGGTAACAAATACGTCGGGGTCGGCAAAAGTCCTGGGTTCGAATCTTGTCAGGACCATTTTTTTTCAAACGGTAAATTTTCCGGCTCAAAAAAATTTCGGCCTATTATTTGTCTGCTTATAAATTGTCGGCTTAGTTGCCACATCTAAGAATTGTTTATTTTAGCTGGAAACAATTTTTAGTGCAGTTGTTTTTAGCAGTTTAAAAATCCGGCCAAATTGAAATTTGCTTTTCACAATGTTTTTAATTTTAGCAGCTCGGTTTGTTAAAATTTCGCTTTTTATAACTTTTTTTGTCTTTTTATCGGCTTAATAATTTTTGGCTGAACTAATATCGACTTAGTGGCGTCTTATTACGTTGTTCTTTTTTTGCGTGAGTGTGCTCTGAGGGTAAAAGGGACTTAACATTTTTATAAGCTCGGAATTATTTTGAGTTTTTTTCGGCATGAAGGGTTTCTGCTCAGGTATTTTCGGCTTTGTCGCTTAGTAATTTTGTCTTTTTGTCTTCATTCCATTTTTCTGTAACCCCCATGCTTTAGACGACAACGCCTGGGAGTTCGATTCTTGTTGAAAACTGTTCCTTTTTCTTGCAAAAAGAAAATTTTGGGTAATTTAGATTATTGTCTGTCCGCTTATTTTTGTCTGCTGCGTTCTACTGATAGGACTTTTTTGAAAACTTGCCTTCTTTATAGCATCCCAAAGCTCTTTGTAAAGTTTCTATTGGTGCAGGTATTTTGATCAGGATATTTTGACTTCTGATGCAAATTTTATTGACAAAGAGATTCTTGAAGTTTTTTTTTTCATTTTTTTTTCTGTTTGATTTTAATCATAGTTTTTGTTTTATTTCTTATTTGTATCGCAAGTAATGTGTAGCTCAGCTTCGCCTCTTTGTTTTATTTTTTTTATTAAATTTAAACAGTTGTTAATTAGGCTTAGTCATTTTATATTGCGCAAAATATATTCCTATAGGATCATAAGCTTCAGTATGGATGGGTCGTAAAAACTTCAAGTTTTCATGAAGTTTTTTATGACAACAGTTTTTCATGCTCATCAGGTTTCGACCCAAATTTTGTTGCCGCTTAGTGAATTGTTTCTAGTTGCTTAAGGAAATCAAATTAATCTGTTTTTACGTTTTTTTGTACAAAAAGATTTAGTCATGTTCACTAACTGATAGAGGCTTAAGTTTTCTGAATCTGACAAGCGAAAACAATTTGTTTGTTAATTTTTATTGATAGTTTCATACTAGGCAATACAGATTCCATTTGATACATTTTCCAATAAAACATGATTTTACGCTTGCGATTAGCAAGCGGTATCAAATTATAATACACACTTTTTTTCGGGGTAAAAACTAGTTTAACAAAATCAGTTGAGTCACTTATGACGCGGCTATGCAGCTGACATGCTCAATTTCATTAAAATGAAATTTCATTTTATCTTCTGGGTGTGTACTAGTTACTACACGGTAGCTTCAGGCGGTACTTATAAAAAAATTTCACCGAATGAGTTTTTTTTTCGGCTCAACTGGTGCACACTCAAAGATTTATGGCCTTTTATGCGCTTCTTGTTCAGTTGCAATTGAAATTGAAGTGTCTTGCGTGTCATGTTTGCCTAGAATTTCTCTTTGATAAAAACAGGTATTATGAAAGTGTTTGGGATTGGTAATTTTATTATTTAATGAGACGCTTTGGAAAATTTTATCACTTTGCAGAAAACGATTTTTTTTTCTCAAACAACCTTCTACCAATTTTCAAAAAAAATGGTATTTATGGAAAGATCACTTCATTTTTTGTGTGCCTGCATGCTCTCCGGTCTTTTTTGCTTATCGTTTTGTCTATATCCTTCGAAAAAGTCTGTTGGAAATGTCAATTTTCTGATTTGTTGACAGTTTTTTAGACATTTCTTGATAACTATCCTGCCAAATGTGATATCATTGGTTTAATTGAAGCAACCGGTTGTGTGGAAGCTTTATTTTAAAATTTTCTGCGCCCAATTTTTTAAAGAAAAAATTTTTGCCATCAAGCAATTGGAAATGTTTAAACTTTTACCGTATTTTAGTTGAGAAGCATCTAAGGTTTTGGCCTAAGCCCAATTTTTGAAGTTGCGCATTTTGTCCAGCACTAGTTAAATAATTTCAAAAATTGTCAAAAAATTACATCCAGTTTTAGCTGCGCCCTTGTTTTTCTTTGCCGAGACACACGAAATAGTTGGTTCACCTAGTTTTTTTCAAGTTTTTGATTTTTTTTCGACTTATGCTTTTTTCATGATTGTGTTGTATCGCAGATGGTGCGAAGGGAAGCTTCGCCTCTGTGTTTAATTTATGTAAAAGGTTTAATTTTACCGGAAATTCACTCTAGGAGATGAAAGTAAATTTAAAAAATTACTTCAGAGCTACTTGTGATTTTGGAAATCATAATTTTTCTTAAAAAAATAGAAAAGTGTTTTTGGGAAATTATAATTTTTCTAAAACAGAACAAAAAATTTTCGCCATGATAATTGCCCTCGACTGTTTTCATAATGTACTAAACATCATTTCAGCGAACTCTACTATCTGCTTTTTTAGTTCAAATTTATCATTTAAAAATTCATTAGCAATTTTTGAATACTTTATTAGAACTTTCGATTCATTAGAACCTTTTTTGAATTCTTTGTTTTCGTTGAGAGTTAAGAAAAGCTATGGATGGATCTTGTTCACTACTAGATAGAAGCACAAAGTTTCTGAAATTATCGAGCGAAAACAATCTGCTACCTACGATAGAGAAAAAAGTCTAGAGTTTATCTATGTTCAATTTGTATTGATAATTTTATACTATAATTTTATACTATACTATAATTCTATAAAGATTTCATCGGATGTGATTTTTAATAATAAAACTTTAAATTCTTATTCAGGGTTAAATCTAACTGACAATCTTTTTAGGGTGACAAAAGTAGGCTGAAAAAATTTTCCAACATTAACCTTTTTCGAGAAATACTCGTCACGCTAAATGTTTTTTTGACGGTTTTAATAAAGCAGTGAAAACCCACCCTCTCAGCCGAATCTATTGCTCGCTTTTTTGTTCAAAATTGGAATTTAAAAAGCCATTAGAATGTTCGTAATACTTTTTTGTTATTCTTTTTGTAAACATTTTTATTGAAAGATAACTCTGGTCCTGTAAGGCCAATTCTAATGTATTTTTTAGGTTCTCTCCCCATACCGCGCAAAAAGTGGCCCGCAAAAAATGTATATTTTGTAAAGTTTTGTTCTTAAACAACTGTGGTAGGAAGATTCTGTGCTACTTGCACAACACTTGGCTCCTCTTTGTTGTTTATAATTTTTTGTGGTAATTTGTTCAAACTGTTAATTTAATTGTATAACTATAGCTTAGGAGAAATAAATTCTTCTTTTTCTGCCTTGATTCTGCTTACACTGTCTACGAAATGTCCCTCTCGAAATAAATTCAATTAGTGTGGTGCATAATTGATAAGTATTCGTGTGCAAAATGTTCACAATCAAGAGACTTTGAAGTGCCGAAGGTACAGAAATGTTAACTTGTTCAGCAAGAGTGTAGATTCTAAAACGAGAAAAAAAGGATTTTTTTTGGGATTAATACTGGGTGAATTGAACCAGCTTTATGATCAGTTCTATGCTCAGTACTCATTGCTGAGCCGATTATCATATAACTATTTACCGTTATCGATAATTCTTGGTAATACGATCCCAAATCGAGAAACGTTGCGCACAAGAAGTTTTTTCGGCGCTGATTGTTCGACCAATTATATTCAAACATTTTGATTTATTTTTCAAAATAATAGACATCAAATTTTGTGGATTGAATGGACATCTTTTTTTGTCTAAGTGACTTGTTGAAATGGGTTTCATTGAATATTATCATTTAAAAAGTTCAGAAAAGTGATTTTAAGCGGGAATTAAGTAGTAGGAAGAGTTCTTTGCTACTTTAACAGCGACTAAAATCGCGTGATGAAACTTGCAAATTGTTGTTGCCGGCCCGTTTCTGTGGCATTTTAAAGCATCATATCATATTCTGATTCGCTTTACAAATGTTTCCTCCCGAAGTTCACCTGGTAAATAATACTATTTTGAAGTTGCAAAAATCATAGGCTGTGTTTGTCTGCTGCTGGCAATTGTAGAATGCCGTTTGGAAACATGTTTTTCTATCTTTTACCTTTTGACGTGTTGTAAGACTGCTGATGAATATATGTTCTCACACGCACGTCAAAGGGAGAAATTTTTAGGCGGCCCAAATGGTCAACTAGTAATGGAATGGTAGATAATTAAGAGACCCAATTTTAAGCCCACATTTCTGTCCCGGCTCAATTCCAGCCTTCTTTTGCCTGCGTTTGAACCAAGTGTTGTGTTCATTCCTACTTGAGCCATAGCAAATAGAATAGACTGCAGCTCACTTTTGGGTTGTGTGTAGTGAACTTTTATGGAGAGCAGGGCAAAGAGAGCAGGCTGGTCGGGAGGGAGATTAATGGTCCTAATGTCGTTACTTCCTTACAGTTTCCTCTCTTTCTTCCATTTCTCGCTTCTTTCTTAGTTCTTCTTACGCCGGTTGCTCTTACCAACTAACTGGTAGCAGCTAACCCAACCAACCAATCCTATCCGGTCTTGTTCGGTGCGCTGCTGCTGCTGCTGCTTTACTGCTAGCTGTGCCCTTCTTTTTTCTCTTCCTTTTTTCTTTGTTTCTAATTTTTCTCCTCGCCACCTATCTACATCTCTCTTTCTCCTCCGCCGCTCTCTTCATCATTTGGCCCAATGGCCCTTTTTTAGGATGCGAAAAAGATATGAGCTATTTTATTAGATTGAAGAAAGCGAAGCTAATGTGTGTGTATGTGTTTATTGTGTCTCAATGTCCGCTCCTTGTTCTTGTGTGTTGTGTCGTGTGAAGGAATGCGAGCGAAAAGATAGCTTTTTGTTCTAATTCTGTTCCAATTCAAACAATTCATCTCCAAACTTTCAATATCCCTTACACGCTATTTGCTGTTCTTTCTCTTCGTTTTTTTCTCAATCTTTTTTTACCATCCAACTCAGTGAGCGGTGGCGTTATTATCCTGCATACTAATACTAGTGTTGTTATTATTACTATCGGTGCTGACTTGCGGTGGATCGTTTATTGTTATTATTTTTCTTTTTTAAACAGTTTAAACTCTCCACCAGAATATTTTTCCACTTCAAATTGCTGGTGATCCTATAGCTGTGTGGCTATTTCATGCCATATTCGCTTACTTTTTCGCAATTCCATCTACAAACATAAATCACCAGTTTGCTTGCTAACTTTTGAATATCGGTATAATTTACCACGCTGGCTTTTATGGCACATAAAACGGAGTTATTTATTGCTTTTTTTAAGATCAACTAATTTATTGTTTTAGATTTAGTTTAACAGTCTGCAAGTCGGATTACTTTCAGTCAACCGATCTGAATCCCATTTAGGTCATTTGGGCGTGAAATGGTTAAAACTTAGCGACCGGGTTAGTCATCATCAATTTCTGTTATTAGTTTCAAATGTCTGGCTATCAATTCAAATTTCTGGTATTAATTCAAATTTCTGCCATCACTTCATGATGCAAAGATTGTCTCTTGTTTTGTAAATATGTTCATTTTGTTAACTTTGGTTGGAACTAGTATTTCGGGCTTTGCATGTACCAAATAGGCGGCATGAACTCTAGTTGTGTTTCCCTCATTTGTGATTAATTGATTGTGACTTTTTAAATCGATTTTTTTTTCGGTCAAATGATTTTTGAGGCAGTTTAATGGCGTTTGGTAAGTTCATGACGAGATGGCGATGGAAGCGTCCATCCTTTATTTTTATTTCAATTATGACTAACACAAATGCTCTTTAAGAACTGAAGAGGTTATACCAGCTCCTTTTTTCGTCACTTTTTAAGAAAGTTTGTCCAAAATGGCATGAATCAGCGAACTAATTGTTGAACCTGATGCGTCGCCAAAAGAATAACCTTTTTATTGAGCTAACACGCTTTGTCATTTCTTGCATTTAACTTGAGGGAATAAAATTTAACCGAAAAATTGTAAAATTAGTGCTTCTGGACTAAATTACAATTTATTGTGTGACTTTTTTTGAAAACTGTAGGAGTAGGAGGGTATACACACATTTGGCAGCTCTCATGTTTCGCAAAACTTGATGGCGTGTTATGCTTTTGATTTACTTTTGTACCTCATTTATAACGAAACTTTGTTTGTGGAATAATTTAAGTTTGATGTGATATATGTTACGTGAAAAGTTAGCGTTGGGTCTCGGGCAAACACCCGCTATGTCAAACATCCCAATTTTTGTAATAATTACGTAAAAATTTGACGGAAGAATTTCAAAAACAAGATATATATCAATTAGCCAGTTCTAATTTAGCCGACCCTGAGTTTAAGGTCGCCGGTGGGTGCACGTCACTGCTTTACGGCGATAAACGGATCTAATTTTGATATGGAATGATAACTTCTGTTGGCATTCTCGTAACACGTTGACGCGACAGCCGCGCTCACTAATCATTCGGCCAATACAGCATCTTTTAAGCGAAAGGAAGATATGGGATCTTTGCACTACTTTGAGAAAAATGTCGAATGTTTACCCTAGCAAAGCTGTTTTTCGAATCTTTGCAACACTTAGATTTTTCGGATGCTTGAGTTATCGGATTTTTGCCCGGCACCCTTGTAAGCATGCGGCACAAAGACTTATACTCGGATAAAAGATTAGTGGTAATTTTGGAGAAAAAATGTCCAAAAGTTTATTATATTTTTGGAGTAGTTGTTTAACTTTTTATTCAAGCGAAGTACGGTTTTGGCTTTGAAAAGTTGTTGGTCTTTTAAAATATAAATGCCTAAAGTCAAAGTCGAAATGTATTAAGCATACTCTAAAACAAGCCAGCTCGTATCAGAGGAGAGTCTCGAATGTTTCGACCGACCTTGAACGTCAATCAAAAGCTTTTTCCATTCAAAAATTTCTGTAAATTTGTTCAAAAAAATGAGAAAATGACCCCACACACTATTTGAAGACTAAACGGATATATTTCGCTGATGGTAAAGTTTTAATAAGAGCAAATTGCTTGCTTCAGTTCTATTTATAGAGATTTAATTTGCCGCGTTTTGTGCTCTACAATGGCACGAATTACATTGCGCGTTAATTATCCAAATTTCAATTAAAGTAATCAAAGTAGTCCCAAATTGATTGAAACTTCTATAAAATTGCAAAAAATGACCACAGGTAATTTTTATTCAATTTTATCTGTATATCATTATCTTTCAGTCTGTATAAAAAGTATGTCAAAAATTGCTGGGTGAAAAAACTTTAAGTTTACTTGGAGAAAAAACCCTAGCGCAAGTATTCTGTCACTTTATTTAAAAGTCATACTATTAATCTATGAACTTAGGAGTAACTTACGAATTCCAAACGAGTAATTTTTAGAGTTTTGAAAATTCTAGATTTTTTGCCAGAAGACCCAATTAAAAAATTTGAAGTTATATATTTTTAGTCACAGGATCGCTGTCTTCTTTCTTAATCAGTGTTTTTGTTCTTAGACCTGTTAAGATTAGATATGAGATTATATTTCTAATTAGAGGTTATGATTCTAATTCTCTGTAATCTTGGTAAAAACTTTTACCAAAATTGTTTCGTATGATCTTCGAAAATAAATGCATTTGATCTTATCTGTACAAAGAAAGAAGAAAGGAAGAAAGCAAGGAAGCTTATTTATCTAAAACCAAGTATTATATAACATCATAATTTATATGATAATCACCAAGCAAAGGGTAGACGAAGAGAAATATCAATGCCCACTGAGTCTGCCTTTGAGTCTAAAAGTAGTTCGAAATATATTCTTATTAACATCAATTTTTTCAAAAATATAAAACTATTCGAAAAGAAAGAAATGCATGGAACAACCTATGGCTATTTATATGAGTCTGGTTCATAAGATAGTTTAATAACTCGGTACAAAAGCAGAACAGATTTGTCAGAAGAGATCACAAAAGTTCCGCTTGCTGTGCAAAAAGCCAATAATGTTACGACCATAGTCACTTCTGGTAAGAGTTACAAAAAAAGAAATACGCAAAAAAGAATATGCGTGAAATTTAGATTTTGAAAGTAATCAAATAACTAGGATAAAGCAATATTACATTTTAGTCAGATCATTTACGTGCATTTTGTAACCGATTCTTTGGTATATCTATTTACACGAGCAATGCTTCTGTTATAGTATGAACTATCTTTTTTTTTCCAACCGAAGTCGCAAATATTGATGCGATAAAATGTGTTCATTTTAAAAGTGTTCATTTTAATCAATAACTAGCTAATTAGTACAGCCAATGCTAAGGATTTTAACACAGAGTATTATTGTTCCGAGTTTCGTAACGAAAGTAACGGAATATTTGTGCTCGGGGTGGTTTTTTTCTTGAGAACTTTTTAACTAGCCATTGTTGACGAGATTTTTTTCAATATCATTCAAAAAAATTTTGTACTGAGCTTAAATTTGGAAAAATATATCATCTGTGATAATTTTTTCGTAAAGTTATGGGGGTATAAAAATTGCCATTTTGGTCAATTTGGGACAATTAACGCGCGATATATTTCGCGCTATTCACGCGTAAGCGGAGATTCAATCCGTCGTAGAAATCGTTCCAAAATGGTTGAAGGAAGCTTTTTTGCTATAATTGATTTGTTAATAGGAGAGAAATTTATCACTCTGTACTTAAAATGGCGTGTGGGGAAATGATTTTCACAAAAAATCTCAAATTGAAAAAAAAATTCATTTCATTTTGATTACATATATTTTTTCATGTTTTTACTGCTCCATAGACTGCTTTATAAATTGAGGCATGATAGCTGGTTTTTTTTACAAATTGACTGCTACTGCTAATGCGTCATAATTGGCGTGCGTCACTTGAGAAATTTTGTAGACTCAAAGTTTTACTCATTCAATTTTTCCCAGTAGCGTTATCGGTCATATTTTTGCTTGTGTATGCGAAGTGCAACATCGGCTCTGTGTATATAATTAAATGCGGGCTTCACTATCTCGCCATGTTTAAGCTTTTTCACCGTAATTTTTTTTGCATTTTTAACAAAATAATTTTTTCACGTTTATCGTATTTTGCAATGGTTAAGATTTTTTTAATCGATTTTCCTGTTTGAATTCAGTGTTTATTTCACCAACTTTAAAATAAGCAATCCAATAGTGGTATGCTGTCAGGGTTTTTATCCGGGTGTTGCGATTTTGGCCTCCATATATGAATTACCAAATCCTTTTAGGTTACGAGATACTAGAAAACATAATTCAAAAATTTCTAGAAAACATAATTCTTAAAATTTTCTGAAAATTTGAACTTCGCGAAGCTGTACTTGGGGGCTGTCAAGGATTTTCAGGGATTGCAAATCTTGATTCCAAATCTCACTTATCAAATCCTTGTGGTTTTCGAAATATGACGTTTTTTTGTGATTTTAAAAAAATTTTCAAAAAAAAATTAAATTTAAAAAAATTCGAAGAACTCAATATTGTAGTTAAAAACTGTGTGGAGTCAGAAACTACTGCCAGGAATTGCGAAACCTGCTTCTGATTATGAGTGCTCAAATCCTTTTAATTTTCGAGATTTGACGTTTTTTAGAATTCTTCCAAAGTTTCAAAAAATTTGAAGTTTGCATCTCTATATTGAGGCTTTTTCAGGATGCTCCGAGGAGTTGCAATTTTTTTCCACATTTGACTGCTCAAATTCTTGTTGTTTTCGAGATATAACGTTTTTCATGATTTTTTCAAAAAGTTTTCAGAAAATTTAAATTAAATTTTTTTTGTTCAAAATTTGTTCAGAGTTCCCAGCTCTGTAATAGGGACTGTCAGAATATTCTCAGGGGTTGAGAATTGTGCCTCTAAGTATGGCTGCTCAAATCTTGTTAGTTTTCCAGATATGACGTTTTGTTATTTTCAAAAAAATTTCAGAAAATGTAAATTACATCTTTTTTTTAAATAATTTGAAGTTTCTAACCCTGTAGTTGGGGGTTTTCAGAGTACTTTCAGGGGTTACGAATCTTTCCTCCAAATAAGGGTGCTCAAATCTTTGTAGTCTTTGAGGTATGACATTTTGATTTAATTTTTCAAAAAAAAATTCAGAAAACCTAAATTACAACTCTTTTTTCATAATTTTAAATCCTTAGCCCTTTAGCTGGGGGCTGTAAAAGTACTCTCAGGGGTTGCGAATCTGCCCTCCAAATGTGACTGCTCAATTCTTCAAATATTTGGAGATTTGAGGTTTTTTATGGTTTTAGAAGTTTCATTTTTAGAAAACTTGGATTTGAAAATTTTCTCAATTTGAAATTTCTGACCCTGTAGTCTAGTTTTGTGACTGTACTCTCTATATATAAAACTTCACAAGTTTTTATGATTTTTCAAAATTTGAATTAAACAAACTTGAATTAAAAAACTTCGCAAAAATTGAAGCTACCAACTCTGTAATTAGCTGCTGTCACGGTAAT